ATGAACACCACATCCAATACAGTGTATCCCGATTTTGGTATCTATTCATCGGAAGGAATTCCGTTATACAATCTGGGAGTCAGTCCTCATTTGATAGCCAACGGTGCCGTCACTTCAGCGCAGAATTCATATCCCTATCAAACATATCAAACCCCTTCAGGTCTATACCTGACCACCAATCCGGCCTCATTGGCCGCATCACAGCTAATCCCACAATTCCAGACATCGACGGGCGCCGCCGGCCCTCACGGCTCCGCAACTTATCCACTGCTCGCCACTCCCTATCGATTACCTCTCGCACAGGTTTGTTGTGCTCTTCAAACTAATTCAATCATTTGAAAGTAATAATTAAACCCCTATTGAACAGAATGTGAATCAAATGAATTCTTACATTCATATGTCTAACGCCACTACACCTCCATTGAGTCAGACCTCATCGGTTCCCATACAAGTGCACACGAGTGTCGCCAATTCAATGATGGGTTCGGACGGCTCCCACGCGGCCAACAACGCGGCTATGAATGCCATAAACAACGGCATGTCTTCACTCAATTTCCTTCAATCGCCAGTTTATGCCATTTCTCCAAATATGCCGAATTCGGGTCAATCGATGGCTTGCGTGCAAAACGTTCAGTTGAAGACCGATAATCGGCCGGATATGAGCGCTGAGAACGGCTCAATGATGTCACCGAATCCGACACACATTCTTGAATTGATGCCGATGTGGACCCAAAACGTGCCAAACATGCAGTCATCGCAGCAAAAGATGGCTCCCAATCGATACATTCAATACTCGTCGACCGCGAAACCCCATCCCAACCAAAACACACCGCAAAACACGTCCGCACCCGCGAAGGACAGACCCGACAGACGTAATAATTCTAGTTTTAATAATAGTCATCACTATCGCAAATCGGCCACCGGTTCCGTCGGCTATCATCGGTTGTCCAACAAAGCGGGCAATGGGGGCGCCGGTGGCGGACACACTGGTTACGGATCGGCGCAAAATTCATACCAAAACCACACTAATTATGCGAATAATTCATACGAAAATGAGTGCCAAATGGTTCACAACAATTCACTCCCTAATGCACTACAAGGGCTGCCATTTGTCAAGCATAACAATCGCTTGCATACCGTGCCATTCAATCACCAGCCGATGTTCAACGTTGTTCAACAGCATCACCACTCGCTCGCTAACGGCACCGGCGGTGGTATCGGCGGCTCTACTACTGGTGGTGTTGGGAGCGGCGGTCAGCCACCGATGATTCCCAAATTGGTTAACGGAGTGCCGATCTATACGTTTGCGGCCAATAGTGCTGGCGGTGGCGGTGGTTACGGCTCTCCACTGACACCACCCCTAACCCCAGGCACTCATCAAATGGTTCACAAATAACTACTCCTTTATAACAAAACGCATTCCAATCGATGTTTATTATCGACTTAAAAACATCCTTTCATTTCATTTCTAATAACCGTTTAATAGAGAAAAATAGCGTTTAATTAATGGACAAAATCGAGTGATTAATGAGAAAACTAGTCATTTAAACAAAGAGTAAACGAAAAACACAAACAAATTTAATGTGAAATTAAGTTCTCATTTGCAGTGATTATTGGCTCCACTTATGTATGACTTAATCGCTGTTTAATTTAGTCATTAATTGTTTAATTTATTAATTAATGCATAAGAAAAAGACGATTACATTATTATGAATAGGAATTCTTGCGATATATATATTTCGGTGATCTCTTAATACAAAACAAAAAAGTTTACAATTTATTGACATTTTTTCATAACTATTTGATTGAAATACGGATTTTTATGCGACGAAACATTTGCTACAAATTGTGATAAAAGTTGTTTATATTAACGAATTAGTTATTAATTAGTAATAACTTTTATTATTAATAATAAATACAAATAGCGATTAATAACTAATAATGTAATTAATAATAATAATTAGGAATCTGTTGGATATTATGTACTGTAATGAAGAGGTGGTGCCTACAAGAGTGAGTGTTTTGATGCACTAAAACGAGTGGTTAGTGTTCGTGCCTTTTGCTCAACAAAACTGACAATAATTTGGTGACAATTTTCTCGTCAATTGTCAAAGAAGTGGAACTGAATGTCAGAAAATGTAATCATTATTAATAATAACTTTTCAATGTTTACACACAAAATGTATTGTAACTCATATTTACCCCCATTTTGTTGTGAGACATATGGAGATAATTTTGATGATGGCTTTCAATGGGGTTTCAAAAATAGATGCCATTCACTGAAGACTTATGTTTTATGCAAATGTGAATCACAAATGAAAATGATATGAAGAAAAGCAAACAGCAAAACATTTGAATCAATCCAATTGTGGTTTTCTTTTTGTTTTCTGTCAATTTATCTCTCAATTAATTTTGTGATATATGTTCAGCGAGTTTAGCACTTATTTCGCCCCCACTCTCCCACCAACACATCCCACACAACCCATCTCTCTCCCCAACTTTGTCCAATCCATAGCCCTTCTCCCCCACCCCTCCCATCATTAATCCGCAGGTATTTCTCCGCCGACACCCAATTGTGTTGATATACTCGTCATTTTTTTCAGCGCAAACAAAAGCGATGTTTATCTCAATTTAAAAAATTGTTTACCTTTTGTTGCATTTTGTTATTTGTCTACAGATTTTTTGTTTTTCTTTAATATCAATTATAAGCTCTTTTCTACTCATTATTAGAGACACTGTTTTCCAGAGTTTTAGATAAATTACCCGAAAGTTAAGCTATTTTTATAGAAACTTTTGTTTTGTTTCCCAAATTTGATTAGCATTTTGTGCCCACACTTTCAATCGTTGATCACATATTTCTTTGATCCTCACATTTGATCTGTTTTTTACTATTAAAATAAATACTTTGTTTTCTCGGAGTATTTGTTGAGATTTTTTGGTTTTGTTTTTGTTTCTCACGAAAACTTTATTTAAAAGTTTTGTTTAGATAATTGAAGATTAGTATTAAGAGTATATATAACTAAAACACGACGACAACAACAAAGCGTTATATTTATATAGATTTGTGTTTAAAAGACAATTCGTTTGCAATAATTGTTATCACGATTCAAACAAAAGATGTTATTATTTATTTCAAAAATATTTGTTTTCTTTTCTCTCGTTTTTTATTACATAATTTCTCATTGATTTATATATAATTTTTTAAATCCATATTTGATTAAAAAACTATTTCCCTTTGATTTTGTAAAAATAACTTATTTTCAAAATTGTTTTCAACACAAATACAATGTTTTCACACGTTATGTAATGAAGTGTCACAACGAATAATAGAATTGAATATTATTTGTATTTTGGACGTCAATAACACAAAAATGATTTGAAAACATAAATCAATAATAATTTGTCTAAATTTTTTTCAATTATAATTACACAAAAACATATTTTATATGAAAAATTCTTATAGTAATCGTCTAATGAGACCGAAATGCAATCAAATGAGTCGTTAATTTTTAATTTTCATTGTAATCAATGTATAATAGAAAATACTTGTAATAATAAAATTGATGAAATTTTTCAGTCTATGAAACGGCGACTCTTTATCTCTTTGAATTTCTATCGAGAAATATATTGAAAACAAAACACTTTTTCATATATTTAGTACTGAATTGATTGTATTATAGATTTTTGATGACAAAGTTTCTAAAGATTTTCTTGTTTTTGTTTAATTAATACCAACTTTTGTTTGTATTTCTCTGTATATTCTGACGATTGTTTTTGCATTTTTATATAGAATTTAGTCAATCAATATGTTTGGAGAAAAAAATGTGACCAAAACTTTACAATAAAAAATATTTATTTCATAAAAACACAAATGAATGGACTTTTATTTGGCGTAAAAATCATACTCTACTCGACATCACTTGTAATAATTACTTTTCTATTCAACAAATTGTTATAAAAACAATATTATTACTGCAACTGCTTTCCAATGCTTTCACTCATATTGTCATACCATGGTAAGTTTGTTAATACTTTAATACCATTTTATCATATTGCTTACGATAGTGGTGTTCAAGGACAGAACGCGTTCTATTTTCATTAATTAATTTATTTTCATACAGTTTACTGGATAAATTGTATATTGTATATGCCCGACACACTGTATAAAAATTAAAAGATTACTAAAAATTGAACGCCGCTAGGGGGTGGCCATCCCAAGCTTACGAGGAATACCCATGGTTGTTTAAATACACAGAGCAATTGATTTATACCCAAATCGTTTTCGATGGATTTATTAATAATAATAATAAAAATTAATCAAAACTGTTTTTTAATTAAATGTAATTTTATTAATAATTATAGAAAATATATTAGAATTAAATAATTTATTTGTTTTCGATAAATATTTTCTCGTGGCTTACTATACTCGGGATATAAACTCGGGAATTAAAATTAATGTCTATTATATGCACATTTCATATATGACAACAGAACCTCAGTTTTTTCCTAATCGTTTAATAAGTCACTAAACATTCACAAAATTTAGTCATCAAATAAAGCCCTGATTTGATGCGTGCAGTCATTCAAGTAATTTGCGAAACGCGAAGAATCGGTTGTCGGACACGACTTCTTGGATGAGATGTGAAAAAACATACGATTATTATTTGGAAACATATATGAGATGCCATATCCCGTGTCAGATACTGGGCCTGCAAAACAAATATATGGATGAATGCGATTATGCATTGAAAATATAGCTTAAAATATAACTAATAACTAATTAATACGAACCAAAACCTCCTCCCGGACACAGTTTATCATTAAAACCGGGATAATTAGGATCCGGGACTTGGGTTTGTTGATTGTGCGGCGTTTGACTAGTGCTGAGCGTCCACTGGCGGGTCAGTACGTTATGCAAAAACTCACTTTCCTTTTGGACATAAATATGACAATCAAATGAATAACTTCTCAAACGACAAGAATCGTGATAATTATGGCTTACATAACCCAATCCTTTACAGGCGACATACAGTGCGAACAGATGTCTATCCATTCCCATCCCATTCATGGCATCCTTATAGAGTTGAGTGTGTTTTTCGGCCGCAATATTCAACAGATGAATGCGTGTCTCTTTGGTGGCCGTCGAGTCAAACATAGAGCGGACAAAAGCTGCCGATTCCTGACTACAGGAGCGCACGGTCTCTGTCCTGCCGTTCAAATAGAGTCGAGTCATCGACGCCTCATATGTCTGCACAAACTTTCCTCCGCTGTCTCTAAAGTAAGCCATTTGTAGCGCCATTTGAAGGAAAGCGTCCGGAGATATGCGACACTTCTTCACCTCTCCTTTTCCCCAATCCTTGTGATCGAAGACAACTAAATCCAAGTCTTGGTTAGACTTTCGGGCGGATAGACTCACTTACTGTTAGACTTGACTCCAAATCAATGACATATTTATTGCACATTTGACTCTCATTTTAGTTCACATTTTGATTGTTATATAACTAACACTTTCTTCACATTTATTATACATTTCCTATCATTTGATTCATTAATAATATAATTATAGTTATATTTGGATAGCATTTGATTCAATCACTTCTCAATGCAATTCATGTCTAATAATAATCACTATTTATCAGTCGATTTGTTTAATCTGATAATCGCTTAATATTTTGATCACACAATCAATCGCTTAATAATAATAATAATAGTTTTGAAGCATTTATTAGTGAACTAATGGTAAATGCATTGACTTTTCAATAGTGTATCTCTCGATATGATTAACACATTTACCACTCATTCATAACATTTCGTATCAAAACATGTGTTTCATAATTGGGTTCAAGTATTTGTGTTAATCATCTCTGATTGTGGTGTTTGTGATCAATACATGTGACCACTAATTGCTATCTCGTTTCGCCCGCAGACCGACACTAACAACGATATGTCCAACTCTTCGTCGCCGCCGACCACCACATCCTCGTCGCCGATGAATGACTCGACGCATACATCCAATGATACCTCAAACAAGACAATGGATGGCAACCGCAACTCATTGAATGCACCCAAATATGGCACTCCAGGTATTGTCCATCAACTGATCCCATATTCAACATATGATGAAATGTCTTCTCTTGTAAAACAGTGCCAAACCGTGTGTTTGTCGGCGGAATCCCTACCGATGTTTGTATTCATTTTGCATTCAATGCTTGTTTTAGTGTCCATTCAATTGTCTTAACACTTGTCTTAATCATTAAAGGCAAAGGAGTTTGAAGTGAAGAATCTGTTCTCACAGTTTGGTAACGTAGTGTCCGTGAAGATCATCACCGATAGGGCCGGAATTCCTCGCGGGTCTGCAACTCATTGCCATCGAAATAATGAATGTGTTGTTAATGTTTGGTTTGAATTGATTGCATGTTTTAGCTATGGATTCGTCACTTACGAGACCGAAGACGACGCCAAACGTGTGCTGAAAGAGAGCGACAATCTGTTGATTAAGAACCGAAAGCTCAATATCTCTGTTGCCATCAAAAAGCAGCAACACTTCAATGGTTTGCACTTTTGATAATTTAAATAACATTTAATTAATGATAATATTGTGTTCTTGAAGACTACCGAAGCGCTCACAACACTGTTATTTATAACCCAATTATGAACACCACATCCAATACAGTGTATCCCGATTTTGGTATCTATTCATCGGAAGGAATTCCGTTATACAATCTGGGAGTCAGTCCTCATTTGATAGCCAACGGTGCCGTCACTTCAGCGCAGAATT